ACAGAAAGTGAAATTTTTAAGAATTCTACCACATCTGAAAGACATCAGCAATATAGAAATTGGTCACAAAAAACTGCTATGCCATTAAGTGGTAGATCAGCTTCATATTCTTCAACTAACTTACCGGTTGATTCTTATACCGGGACTACTCAAGAATTTGGTATCGATTCACAAGAGTTATTTTTTCCAGATGAGAAATCATTAGTCAATTGGTTATATACACGGCCAGATTTAATTGCTCAAGCTCAAAGTCCGTCTATAACAAATTTTTCACCATATAAGGTTTGTTCTATGTTATTTAATTGCAAACTATTAATTTCAGTTTATTTCTAAACTACATAATATATTATTAGACTAAAGCTGATATTTCAGAGTCAATGAATAAAGAAACCTTGACAAATCTAGTTATGGAACAATGCAAACTCTTATTTTTACGTAGCGAAATCCTACTAAAAGAACACGTGAAACACTTATTACAAAGATTATTCCAACAATGGATCCTATATCTAAAGAATTCAAGATGTTATATAAAAAACACGCGAATACTTTGATAATTTTCGACATACTTACAACAAAGATATGGCATCTCTTGCTAAAGATTTACTTGTAAAAAACTGGTAATGTATTAATATTTATATTTATTTATTTATATAAAAATAAAAATTGAAACTTTATTTTCTTTTACAGCAATCCGACTAATGAAAACATCAAACAGGTTATTGCTGGTAAAGTTTGGAAGCAAAAACTCAACAAATATCTTGATGCTAGTGACTATCTTGAATTCAAGAAGTTTCCGTCTTCGCTCAAGTCTCTTGAAACCTTTGTTGCTGAAAGTTTAAGAATCCATGTCAAATATTTGATGGCAGTTCAAGATCAAAAAAACCCATCCTATTTGTGAAGATGTTTTAGCAGAAATCAAGAAGCTTGACTAACTCACCTATCGGTTATCTATTCCATCAGCAAGCCGACGCAATTATGTAAACGAATTGGATCTCAACGAAATTAGCGTAGAGATATTTTCTGAAGATAATGAATAAATAAATAACTATTATTGATTATTGATTACAATAATATTTCGAAATAACTGTAATAATGATGCAATGATGCAATAAATAATTCAATATAATTGGCGAGTTGGTTTAAATATATAATCTTTTTATTCCGGTTATTAATCTTAATAAAAAAAAATAAAAAAAAAAAAATTTTAGAAGGATCTTTAGACCCCATCCGAACACCAAATTTTTCCTAAACTAGATTTAATCCACTGTTTTTTCTTTTGAAGCGTTACAAATTCATGTGTTAGTTCTGTAAAATATCCGCAGTAATTATATCTATCTGTCGGAAATTTTAGCCAGATTTAAAAAACTATCATCGGCCAAATATAGTCCTTTATTATGTTCTAGTACAAACCTATGTTTGCGATTTAATATAAAATTCTTCTTTATTATACCTTTAACGGTCTATTGTATTACAGATTTCTAATAGATTTAGCATAATTTACTGCTGACACCAAAATTCGGAGTTTTTGCTAAGTTATTATTAAGGTCAGACTCCAATGTTGTCAAATGATATTGAAATGACATTGAAATGACATTAAATGACATTAAATGACATTGATTTTACTATGAGAAATGACAAATGTCATTTAAAAAATAGGCAAATGACATCGCAATTTGCCAACACTGTCAGATTCATTATTAATAATCTGTTTTCAATTTTTTTTTGAGATTTGTTATTGCGAAACATAATCAAATATAAAAAATAGATTTTTTTAAAAAGAAAAAGGAGGAAATCGTGTTAAAATATGATAGATAAGATAAATATTATATTTTTAAATTTATTTGTTTATTAATTTAATAAACAATTACCTGTGTCAATATCCGGGTAATATTCGGATTTATCAAATAATTATAAAACGGATACAAAATGGATATTACCCGTTTTTACCCATTTTAATTATACAGCAAGTACTCGAACTCAAGGAATTTTACATAATTAATTTTTATGTACACCAATTCAACTTCGTTATACATTTATATAAAAATTCAATAATCTTGATTAAAATCGCCATGTTATTCATGCGTGACTTTGATTTAATGCTAAAAAATAAGCTAATAATAGATTTCTTAAAGAAATTTTGGAATTCACGTTAGATCTATTTGAAATTTCATTTTACTCACATTTGAAATTACAGTATATGAGGTTTACTATTAAAATTATATTATAAATCATATGATTTACTATATTCATAATTCAATTTTAAAATATATTATTTTTTATTAAATCTACATATTATAATCAGATTTAAAATTAATAAATTTAAATTATAATTTGATAATTTGTTATTAGTATTTAACCAATATTATTAATATTATTGATAAATTGAACTTTAAATTAAATATTAATTAAATTAATTATAGTTTCATCATCAGATGCAGTTTCAAAATCTGAAAATAATCGGACTTGCTTTTATCAGAATGAAAAACAAATAAGTCGCGTTTGTAGTTGTTTTGATTATAAAAAATTTTACAATCGTCGAATTAAAAAATTTAAAAAATTGTTACAAAGCTATTATATATAAAAACTCCAATTTTTGATAGTGGAATATATAAAAAAAATATCAAATTTATTATATCATCTCATAAAAGATAATTACCTTGCGTTTAAAATGAATAGAATGATTTCACAGAATAAACGTAAGGGAAACCTATCGAAGCCATTCTTTATCTTCACATAAGTCTAACAAACTATACAACATAGATTATTTGTTTCTCATAATTCAGATTTGTGGGACGAAACTTCATCATTGGAGTCATCATCCGAATTATCATTC